CACCTCAGGACCGAGCCAGCAACCTGGGCATGTACCCTTGACCAGAATCCAACCCAGGAGGACCTTTCAGTCCGCAGGCGAACACTCTATCCATTGAGCCACACCGGCTAGGGCTCACTTTATATCTATATTGATCTGTTGAAAGTATATTGTTATGGCCCAAGAATTTAGTGCTAAGAAAAAACAAAGCTGTTTCTACCTTTCTGTGGAGATTAAGAAATCACTCAGTCTTTGAGAATTGCTTTTAATTATATAGCACTTAAGCCTTGAATAAGTGTGATTGATATTGCCAGTGGAGGACCTCAGATTATGTTTTCAAAACTAGTATCTTTGTCAACAGTAACAATTAGGTGGAGGTCATCTTAGATAAGCTAAGTTATCTCTGACCCTAGATTCTTGTTTTTCCAACAAGACCAAGAAAATGTCAAGGATGTGCTCAAGGGCAGCGTTATAAACAGTGTGCCTAACAGCTGGGGAACTATTGCCCAAGCCTCACAGAGGCTTCTACAGCAAAGACCTGATGTTAACATCCTCTAGGGTTTGTGAGAAGCAGCTCGCAGAGTGAATCTGACAACCCATAAGCATGTCTTCTCTTGAGAAATGTTTCAAGATGTGGAAAGCGTGTGCCATTAGCCTGCAAAGCACACACCCTCCAGGAGCAGTGGAGCAGGTGGAAAATTCCCTCCTACCAGGAGGCATGAAGTTTTCACTAAGATGAAAAGGGATGTGGAGACGTGACACTCTTTATCTCAGTTTTGTCTTTCCCAGCTGGGATGGCCCCGTCTAATCTAGAGGATACCATAAGGCCCCCACCGGACTCCACATATATCGGATAAGATGGTGGGATTCAATGGATCCTGTCATATAAACACGGAAAGGCAGCAGGCCATAGTAAGGAAGCCTTGAATGTTGGCTTAGGCTGCAAGTAGAACCTAGTACCACCTCATCCAATGAGCTGAGCATGCCCTATGTGCTTTACAGCTTATGATAACCTTGTGAATAAAAGAATTATCTATATTTTACCCAGACCAATAAATCTGACTCTCAAACTCATGCTCTTAACCACACTATTATACTACCTTGATTTTTTTTTTCATATGTAGCAGTGATAATCAATATCCCCCTACATACTCTTAATGGTTATTACAAAAATAGGTGTGACAGCCGAAACCGGTTTGGCTCAGTGGTAGAGCGTCGGTCTGCGGACTGAAAGGTCCCGGGTTCGATTCCGGTCAAGGGCATGTACCTTGGCAACTGGTCAATGTTTCTCTCTCATCAACGTTTCTGGCTCTCTATCTCTCTCCCTTCCTCTCTGTAAAAAAAAAAAAAAGGTATCTTCTCCTGGTTTAAAAAAAAAATAAAAATAGGTGTGACAGTACTCTGGGAAAAGTTTTTAAAGTCCTATAGAACATGTGTGTTATTTTTGCATTTTTAAAACCAGTTTAGTTATAACCAAAGGCCTTAGATTACATTTATGACTGATATCTGATCAGAGATTTTTAAAAATATATTTTTATTGATTTCAGAAAGAAAGGGAGAGAGAGATGGAAACATCAATGATAAGAGAGAATCATTGATCGGCTGCCTCCTACATGCCCCATACTGGGGATCAAGACTGCAATCCCAACATGTTCAAGGCTGATACTCTCTGCACTGAATCAAACCAGCCAGGGCTGGCCAGAGATTTCTTTGTGATCATTGACCCCATTGATGGTGGGCTTGTTTCAGTGTTTCTTTAATTTTATATATATATATTTTTAAAATATATTTTATTGATTTTTACAGAGAGGAAGAGAGAGGGATAGAGAGCTAGAAACATCGATGAGAGAGAATCATCGATCAGCTGCCTCTTTTGCACACCCCCTACTGGGGATGTGCCCGCAACCAAGGTACATGCCCTTGACCGGAATCCAACCTGGGACCCTTCAGTCTGCAGGCTGACGCTCTATCCACTGAATCAAACCAGTTTCGGTATAATTTGATTTATTTTTAAAAATTATTTTTATTGATTGTAGAGAGAAAGGGAGAGGGATAGAGAGAGAAAGAAACATCAATGATGAGAATCACTGATTGGCTGCCTCCTGCACGCCCCCTACTAGGGATTGAGCCTGAAACCCTGGGCATGTGCCCTTGGCTGGAATTGAACCTGGGACCCTTCAGTCCACAGGCCGACTCTCTATCCACTGAGCCAAACCAGCTAGAGCTTTAATCTGATATTTTAACCTCAGTGAGTGACAGCAGAAATCATATCTTGCTCATTAAAGAATGCCCTGAAACAGTGCCTAGCACATTATCCTCAATAAATGTTTGTGGAATCAGTTATAACCAATCCCCAGCATCTAGCAAGGTCCCAGCATACTGTAGGCGTTTTGACAGATACTTATAGACAGATTGATGGAACCTGGGGATGATCCAGAAGACCTCAGACTACAGCCAGACCCCAAGTCTACACTGGTTTCTGAAGGGGAGCCTGGAATGGTCCTGAGAACCAGCGTCATTTACAAATGTTCTCTCAGAAAGGATTATTTTTAGGATAAGCTTCCAACACATTCAATACCCATAATGCACTTGCCACCTTTGACTATTCCTCTCCCTGGCAACCAAATCAAAATTCAGCCCTAAGGAAAGAATGAGCTGTAGTGGTAGACAGATCTTTTTTTCTTTTTTTTTTTTAAATTTCAAATAGGGTCATGTCAAATGGAGGTGGTTAGGAGTACTCTGGACAGAGTTGGTTTTATCTGTCAACCTGTCCTACGTGCTAGCAGTTCATTAAATAACCTACACTACCAGTGAGATAGCTAATCACTAGTTGCAGGAGGATGTGTACCTGATGCTAGTTAAAGGTAGCAAGTTTACTAATCTTCATTCTGCTACTTTCATGGCTAATTAACTTGTTGGTGGAGGGCCTGGGGTCTACCCTTCCTTGTGTTGCTTCAGGTCTAAATTTGACCTCTCCTTAACTGCAGATTACCCAATTGCTTTTGTTAAGTGTTTCATCCCTAGGAATAGCTAGCTACTGTATCAAAACAACACCATCCATTTCTTTCTTTTTTTTTAATATATATTTTATTGATTTTTTAATACAGAGAGGAAGGGAGAGGGATAGAGAGTTAGAAACATTGATGAGAGAGAAACATCCATCAGCTGCCTCCTGCACACTCCCCACTGAGGATGTGCTTGCAACCAAGGTACATGTCCTTGACTGGAATGGAACCTGGGACCCTTGAGTCCGCTGGCTGACGCTCTACCCACTGAGCCAAACCGGTCAGGGCCATCCATTTCTTTTTTAAAAAATATATATTTTATTGATTTTTTACAGAGAGGAAGGGAGAGTGATAGAGAGCTAGAAACATCAATGAAAGGGAAACATCCATCCGCTGCCTCTTGCACACCCCCTACTGGGGATGTGCCTGCAGCCAAGATACATGCCTTTGCCCAGAATCGAACCTGGGATTTTTCAGTCTACAGGCCGACACTCTATCCACTGAGCCAAACTGGTTTCAGCAACACCACCCATTTCTGACCATTGGTTTGTACTCTTCAAATGAGAATATGTTAAATATTATTAGAACTGCATTCAGAATTAGAATCTCCAAAGGATGTTTAGTTGCCAAGTAGCAAATAAGCAAATATTTTGTAACATGCCTTAGAGAACTTGGAACTAGAAAAACTTTGTTCATATCCTTAAAAAAAAAAAAAAAAAAAGGCCATTAATTCCTAGACAATCCTTCCCACCACCCTGTCGTTTGCTAAAGGGAGTAATTGCCACCTCCCTCAGAGGGTTGAAATGAGAATTAAAGGAGATAATATGTGGAAGTGCTTTAGAAACTGTCAAGTGCCAAACACACATAAGGGATTGTAGTAGGAGATGGTCCCTACCAAGGACTAACCACTTAGAAAATGTTATAAACATAAGTGATTGGTATTCATATTCAAACCCTGACAAATTGTTGTAGCCACAATGAGGCAAGTGATTGAAATCTGGGGGAAGAAACTAATAACTTAGCATTTTTAGTTGATGTGGAAATGCTAGCCTCACATCTCATAGAGGAATATACAGCATTTAAGGGGTTATGTTTAAAGTCATTGTGTGTGTGGGGGGAGGGGGGGAGTGTAGCTCAGTTGGTGAGTGTCCTCCCCATAAGCCGAAGTTGAGGTTCCATCCTGGGCACATACAAGAAGCGACCAATGAATGTATAAATAAGTGGAACAACAAGTTCTCTCTCTCTCTCTCTCTCTCTCTCTCTCTCTCTCTCTCTCTCTCTCTCTCTCTCTCTCTCTCTCCCCCTCCCTCCCTCTCCCTCTCCCCCTCCTCTCCCCTCTCTACCTCAAATCAATAAGTTAAAATAAAGTCATCGTAACAGTGAATTGCTGAGAGCCAGCCATTGCCTAGGGATTTTCGCGACTCTGAATATCACCCAGGACACTAAAGGGAAAGCTATTCCCCCTCTCGTAGGAGAGCAAGGAGAGTGCGTGAGATAGGTGGGCTCATTTCATCCGGCATCATAACCGACGTGTATGTCTTTTATTTTGTTTAGTTTTTTTTTTTTTTATTTCATAGAGGAAAAAAGAGGGAGAGAGAGATGGAAACATCAGTGATGAGAGAGAATCACTGGCCTGCTGCCTCCTGCACGCCCCCCATTGGGGATCCAGCCGGCACCTAGGCATGTGCCCTTGAATAGAATCCAACCTGGGACCCTCCAGTTCTCAGGCTGGTGCTGTCCACTGAGCCAAACCAGCTAGGGCCGACGTGTGTGCTCTATTCCCGAAGCGAACCCTGAAACACTTCCAACCTTCCCTGAGGAATTCCATGGACAACAACAGTGCGGGCAGGCAGATGCCGACTTCTCCCTTCCCTGTCTTTCTGAGTTGCCTCCATCAGCTTCTAGGACGTCCGAAAGCCACAGAGCCTGCAGCCTGGGGCCGAGAGAGGGAGGTGCCAACGACCCACCCCTCCCCACGCCCAGGGCCGCCGGGCGGAGCGGGGCTGTCGGAGCTCCCCGCGCCCCGCAGAGCGCTGCTCCAGAGGCTGCAGCCCGGCTGGAGGTCGGTCGGTCGGGCGCGATGTACCTCCGCAGGGCGGTCTGCAAGACGCTGGCGCTGCCGCTGCGGGCGCCCCCCGGCCCCGCGCCGCTCCGCAAGGACGGTGAGTGCCGGACGCCGGCCCCGGAGGGCACCGGGCTCCGTGCGGGGGTCGCGGGCGCCCCTCTGCTCCTGTCTGCCCCGGGAGGGCCAGCCCAACCCGGAGCCGCGATTAGCCTGAGTTGTGGATTGGGGGGGTGGGGGGGAGTTAGAGGAATGGGGAAGGGTCGCAGGGTTAGATGCCCCGAAGTTCTTGGAGATTTTGAAAGTAGGGAACCTTTACAGCAGACTTTCTGGGCTCAAATCTTTTCTTTCTTTCTGTTTTTTAAATACAATTTTTTTTAATTGAATATATTTTATTGATTTTTTACAGAGAGGAAGGGAGAGGGATAGAGAGTTAGAAACATCGATGAGAGAGAATTATCGACCAGCTGCCTCCTGCACACCCCTCACTGGGGATGTGCTCGCAACCAAGGTACATGCCCTTGGCCGGAATCGAACCTGGGACCTTCCAGTCCGCAGGCCGACGCTCTATCCACTGAGCCAAACCGGTTTCGGCTGGGCTCAGATCTTGATGTTGGGCAAGGGCTTTAACCTCAGTTTCCTCATTTGTACATGGGGGCTAGCATAGCTGAGTGTTAATGGGCTAATGTTTAGAAAAGAGCCCGGTTAGCCCTCGCTTGGCTTACCATTTTTGTGACTTACAGGGACCCATGCGTCCTCCTAGTCCACGGAGAAGCTGGGGCCCGGGTTGTGGGGAGATGGGCACAGACCAGTGAGCCAGGCAGGTGCGGCCCGAGGGCTAGCCTGGTGGGAGCTGGTGAAGGCTCTTGAGTAAATAAACTCAGGACTTGGCCTGCACAGCAGGCAGCCTCGACCCCTGAGCCCGAGCCCTGGCGTTCCCCACCCCCTCCCGCAAGGATGTGGCCTTCGAAGCATTTTTCATAGACCTGGAGCTGTCCAGCTATTTGCCTTCTTCGTCCTTGCATGTATCACCTTTGGATGTGTGAACTCATGGGGGAGGGGGGGGGTGAGCATCTTCAGACATTTCCTACAGGGAAAGTTGCACTGTGAGCTAGAAGTACGAATGGGCCTAGCACAGTGCCTGGGTCATCATAGATGCTTAAGTGTGAGCGTGGCAGTCGGTATTGGTCAGGCCTCCAGGTTCGTGCTCCAGTGCGGTCCTGCCCCAGCCAGCTCTCTCTGACTCCTCATCTGTTTCCCCTCCTTTTCCCTGTCCTGATGGTGCGTGTGGAGGGTGGGGGTGGAGGGTAGGGGAGGCTGCTCCTAGACCACTTGGAAGAAAGTTCTCAGTTTTCTCAGTTCTTTCTTCACGGCGCCTCACTTCCTAACGCTTGCCCGGTAGCTTTAGCCCAGTTTGTGCATTTGAAGTGAGATAGAGAAAGACTTGAGAAAATTCCATGGACCAATATTTTTTTTTTCACTTTGACTAGGCCTGCGCTGGTGATGATGGTGGGAGGGAAGGAAGGTCTGTCCAACTAGCTTTATTTGTCTTTTAAAATGCTAGTGGGAAGACGTTGCCTTACAAGCAGCAGAAATAAAGTGTCTTCATTTTTCTTGATTTTTAATACCGAGTGAAATAAAGCAATTTTTTTTTTTCAGTGATGAAGTGGAAGAAGCCATTCATCTTAAATTTCTGAAGTCAAAGGGCTGTTTTGATGGGGGCAGAAAGGAGAGGGAGAAAGATGAGACCGTTGATCTGGCCTTTTGCGCTCTGGTTATCGTCTGCATCCCCCATGGTCATTACACTTTTTTTTTTTTTTTTTTTTTTTTTTTTTAGCTTCCTACAGTTCAAATAATTTTCTCTCCCATTGGGGGGGAAAAAAAAGTAGTTTAAAATTTCTAAATGGATAGTTAGCAATACTGGTTGTAGCACTATTGGTCTTCCTCTAACTTTCACCTAATTTTTTGTAGCACTGATTTTTTTTTTCTGTGGTTTTGAAGAACTATTATTGACTGGATATTTGGCTTCAGTCATGGACATCAACTAACCTTTTATTGATTCTTTCCACTTGGACAAAAGAAAAAGTAGTTTCAGTTTTATTGAAGGATGAAATTGTAACTGCCTCCTCAAATTTTGTTCTCTAGTTTTCCTTTTAAAATGTACCTTTTTAATGAATTAATAACTTAGGTTTGCAATATATTATTTAAAAAAACACAAAAAGGCAAAATAATAGTCACCTGTAATCCAACTATTCAGTGAATACCATTATTTACATTTTAGTATATTTAATCTCCCAGGCCTTTTTCCCCCTCATGCATGTTTTTCTATATGCATATTGTTTCCACAAATCTGGGATAATCCTGTGTTGAGGGCCCCTTGGGAATGCACATAGATGACCTTTAATTATCATCAGCTGAACTCAAGACATAGGCAGAGCCACGCCCTGGGAACATGTTTCCCCAAAATATGGGAGACTGTTATCAGTACTGATTTCTTATCTTTAACCATGTGCTTGGAATGAGGAACGAATAGGACCTTGACTTACCCAGGTCTAAATCCCTGGAATGAGGGAATGAATAGGAACTAGGCATACCGTTTCCCATTTCATTGCTCTTTTAAATAGCTTTGCCATAATTGTATTTAAGTCTTTACCTAAATCTCTTATAATTTTATTTATTTCTTCCTATTTAAAAAACCTTTTTGATAGTTATGTCTGGTTGACAACTATAAAACTGACATATTTTCTCTGTAATAGTAAATGTATTTTTAAACCAACAAAAACCCTACTACAGCTGAAACCAGTTTGGCTCTGTGGATAGACTCGTAGGGGTGTCGAACTCAATCAGAGAAGGGGCCAAAATCTAAAATCCAGCCTAAATCGCGGGCCGAATGGTTTACTGAACAGTCATAAACTGTCATTGTGATGGAAACGCAGCGGAGTGCAGTGATGACAGCGCGGTGCGGGCCACATTGCAAGGCCTGGCGGGACGGATTTGGCCCGTGGGCCTTGTGTTTGACACATGTGGTCAGCCTGCGGACTAAAAGGTCCCAGGTTCGATTCCAATCAAGGGCATGTACCTTAGTTGTGGGCACATCCCCAGTAGGGGGTGTGCAAGAGGCAGCTGATGGATGATTCTCTCTCATCGATGTTTCTAACTCTCTATCCCTCTCTGTAAAAAATCAATAAAATATATTTTTTTAAAAAAAGGCCTACTACAAGTCAATGCCATAACCTCTTATCACAGCCTGTTGGGGCACATTTGTAGGGAAAATATTTTTTTTTAAGAGATGATCATTTATTCAAATTAAGAACATATATGTGGATTTTTTTTTTCCAATTTGACTACTACAAAGATTCATAATCAGTGCAAATTTTTAAAAGATGTGCCCTCTGCAAAACATAACTTCTTACTATTCCCCCACCAAATTAAATTCCTCTATTCTTCCCAAGTCATTCAACTCATGCCTCATGTTGTACCTTCTGCCCCTAGTGCAATTTTCCTTTCATTTATTTATCTGATAAACTCCTACTTTCCTTCAAAACTCAGATCATGTCTTTAAATAGTGTCAGCTGCTTTGAGCCAACTTGCTGAGTTTCCTCACTGTGTTTTCAAGCTGTTGTTGAAGCTTCTACTGTCTATGACAGCCTTTGTCATACTGCACTGAAATGATTGTCTGTAGTTATTTGTCTGAATATCTGTTTCTTCTTTCTAAACTGCGAGCTATATACTTGATTGAGGCCAGGAACCTCGTGTGCCTTGTTTACAATTATATCCTAATGCTTCTAAGAATGGCAAACAGGGAACAGGTGATCAACTGTTCGTTGATGGATGAATAAATGTCTCTTTGTTTTTATCTGTGAACTTTAAGCTGTTTCTAGGCTTAATTCTATTATAAAAATCCAACTCCAGGGAATGTGGTGTATATGCAAGCTCTGGCACTGCTGAGTAAACGTATTTAAATATAAGAACATAGCACTTTCATAGTTTCTATTAGTTTGTACAGAATTGTATTTCTATTTCAGATATCTTTTAGCAACATTTGTCTTAGAAAAGCTTCTCTCTGCCTATCTCTAAAGGCTTTATATTAGAAATATATAGCCGAAACCGGTTTGGCTCAATGGATAGAGCGTCGGCTTGGGGACTGAAAGGTCCTGGGTTCAATTCCGGTCAAGGGCATGTATCTTGGTTGCAGGCACATCCCCATTAGGGGCTGTGCAAGAGGCAGCTGATCGATGATTCTCTCTCATCGATGTTTCTAACTCTCTATCCCTCTCCCTTCCTCTTTGTAAAAAATCAATAAAATATATTTAAATATATATGTGCATTTGTGTCACAGATTTATAGAAGTGTGTTAGATTTCAACATAAATGTTTTATTTAACATAAATTTCAGGTATAAATATATTTAATTAATTTTTTGGAAGAATCATCTTTTCGACTAAAAAATGGAGTACATTCAATAATGGATTTCTTTTGCTTGTATGCATCTTGTTTGACAGTTGAAATTGTTTAGTGCTTTTGTCATTTCTCCTTACCCATGCCTGCACTCCTTCCAAGAAAAGCTTGGTGCTTAGCATCAAAATGACAGATTTCATAAGTACTTGTCAAATTATATTGGGAAAATGCCAAGTGGAATTATTCCTATGCCATATTCCCTTAAGCTAAAGTCACTTGATGTTAATAGATTCTAGGTTCACTGAGCAGAAATGTTTTTAAGAAAGAATTATTTAAAGTACTTTTGCTTAAGCAGTGGAGCTAACCGTGTTTAAACTTGTTTTTCTAGCATCTGTTCGCTGGATGTCATCTAACAAGTTCCCTGGATCATCTGGGTCCAATATGATCTACTATCTGGTTGTAGGTGTCACGGTCAGTGCTGGTGGATACTATGTAAGTGTTCAACCACAGTGTGCAGGAATTCTCATATTTTACAACCTGTGGTAAAACTCGAAGCAATGTTAAGTCCAAGACATGAGATTAAATAACTAGATTATGATGATTTTTAAAGTATAAACTCAATATTTCTTAAAACCTCTAAGAATGGATGACTTTCAGTAAAAACAATCTATAATAATAAAAGAGTGATATGCTAATTAGATCAAACAGCTGAACGACCTTCTGGACTAAGCTGAAGCTTTGAGGGCCAAGCCCCTTACATGAATTTCATGCATCAGGCCTCTAGTATTATTATAAATACTAATAGTAATAGCTGGACAGTCTAGGGCTCACTTAATAATTACAACAATTCTATAAGGTAGATACTATTATTAATATTTAATGGGAACTGTTTTCAAAATTAAATTTTTTAAAAGTTAATAGACATTATTTCTTAGACCAGTTGTAGGTTCATAGAAAAATGAACAGAAAATGCAGACAGTTCCCATGTATTTCCTCTCACCCTTGTTTCAGCTTTTTTCCTATCAATAATCGTGCTTTAGTGTGGCATGTTTGTTACAATTGATGAATCAATATTGATATGTTATTACTAACTAAAGTCCATAGTTTACATTAGACTTCACTCTTTGTTCGTTATAAGTGTTTTGATAAATGTATAATGACATGCATCCACCATTACAGTATTATACAGAGTATTTTCACTACCCTAAAAATCCCTCATGCTCTACTTATTTATTCCTCCCTCCCCCAATCTTTTAACTATATCCATAGTTTTTATTAGCTTTATATCTTTATATATACTCTTCTTATTTTTTAAAAAATAATATTTATCCATAAATTTTAAAAATTCAAAATAGACATATATAAGATTAAAATAATGCTATCCTCGCTGGTCCCCATATCCACTCCCCCTTAGATAATCACTGTAAAACAAAGCTTTTGATAATATGATTTTGGAGCTAAAACAATGAAACATTTGTGAGTCAAATAAGATAAGCCTATTGAATCATTCCCCATTTTGTCATAAATTTTCTAAATTGAAATATACTCTTCATTGTGAATAAAAGTAGAATAAATCATTTAGAAACCATAGGAATACACAATCACGGCATTTTGGCTTGATACTGCAGAAATATGCATAAATGGATTTTTAGTCATAACTAGGAGCAGTTTGTAGAACTATATAGATGGCCAAATCTAAACACATATTCTAATCTTCAGTATTTTGAGAGCCTCAAGAAGCCAGGAAATTTCAAACATGTCATTTATATTATTGTCCTCTACTAATCTATCAGCTTTCACTCATACCCAGCCAGGTTCCCTCACTGTTACTCTCATTCTGTTGCTTACTGCTGAATTGACTGCCCAGGCCTACTACAGTTGGATATAGGGCACTGGAAAAATAGATATTGGACTAGTCCATATGATTTCGTGGGAAGCCGGAAAACTTAATTTCACCTGGGCATCACTGTATCCCTAATTAGGTTTACTAGTGTAGACATGAACCTCTCGTGTATACTAAATCTTTCTTTACACAAGCTATCTTAAACAGGAAGTTACAAACTGACTGCTCCTGAGAGCCCTTTCTGGCCTTATTGTCTCACAAGGGGAATGACATTGGACAGGTGATTATCTCTAAGTCCCCTTCCACCTCTAAGATTATATGGTTTTAATCTTAAATCTTGGAAGTGTTAATTCTCAAGAATCTTGGGCTACTTTCAGGAGGAGATACAGAATATGAGGTATTTAAAAACCTGAATTCTAGTCTTCTCTTCCCCTTCTTTGTCCTATCTAAGTTCTATATTAGATTTATCTGAATTGAATCCATGGTAGCCAAGAGCAGTTTTTCATTTCCAAGTAAAATCTACTATGAGGGCCTCTTAAATTCTGTGAAAGGCCTAGGTCATTTCAATTATTTGAAGGTCTGGGTATATTAAAAAACATAATGCAATACTGATTTATTGAAGTTGTGATATATATTTTTAAAATATTTTTACTGATTTTTAGAGAAAAAGGAAGGGAGAGGAAGAGAGAAACATCAATAAGGAGAGAGAATCATTGATCGGGTGCCTCCTGCATACCCCCTATTGGGGATTGAACTTGCAACCCTGGACATCTGCCCTTGACCAGAATCAAACCTGGGACCTTTCAGTCTGCAGGCCAACATTCTCTCCACTGAGCCAAACCAGATAGGGCAAGTTGTGGTATATTTTAAATGCTTATGTTTAATAAATAATAAATTTGAGGTCCTCTCTTCTATCAGGCCTTCTATTCTGTGTTTGACTATGTTGATTCTGGAAAAGCAAGGTTCTCTGGGCCACACATGAGTGTGAATTATTCAATTCTGCGTTAAGTAGTTTTGTTTTGTTTTCTTATCTCCTGTTCTAGCCCCTTGAACAATAAGACTAATGTCCCTTAGGATGTTACTGCTGGTCAGTTCAGGGATGTGAACTTTTTTTTTTTTTTTTAAATATATTTTATTGATTTTTTACAGAGAGGAAGGGAAAGGGATAGATAGCTAGAAACGTCGATGAGAGAGAAACATCAACCAGCTGCCTCTTGCACACCCCCTACCGGGGATGTGCCCGCAACCAATGTATTATACATGCCCTTGACCGGAATCGAACCTGGGACCTTTCAGTCTGCAGACCAATGCTCTACCACTGAGCAAAACCGGCTTCGGCCAGGGATGTGAACTTCTACACAGGTTCAGTCTGCATTGGTGTGCTAAGAACTGAGGATGCTGACTGGGCATATTGTTCCTAATTTGTCTTTATCTTTCTATCTACTGGGCATGTTTGCAGTTATCCTTGACCCTTGTTATAGCATTGTTCCTTTCCTTCTTTCCTACTTAATGACAAAGGTTTTCAAATAGGAAATACAAGAGTAAATGATACGGCCCTGGCCAATGTAGCTCAGTCTTTCTCTATCTCTTTCTCTCCCTTCCTTCCACTCTCTCTCTAAAAATAAAAAAAATAAAAATATCCTCCAGTGTGGATTAACAACAACAACAACAAAAAGTAGATGATATACATTGTCGTTTCTTCTTTGAATTGCATACACCTTTGAATTTGGCATGATGAATATAAATCATGTTGAAAAAAATGCTTGTGAATAATAAGTACACTTTTGTTTTCAGACTTACAGGTCAGTAACATCAAAGCAAGTCAAGCACACTGGACATATAAAAGATTTGAAAGAAGAAAGTAAAGCAGAGTTACAGCCACTTCAAGGTAAAGTGAATTTATTAGTATGGTTTTCCTTAAGGCTATGATTTTCATCACCTTAGCCTAGCAATGAACACTGTTTTCTTTTGGCTTCTTTACTGACTTAATTCAGAATGACTCTGGGTAGGAGTTCGTCAAAAAGGAAAAGCCACCCAAAACCTAGAAAATATTGTTATACGTTTTGGATGAGTGCATTGAATAAGTGAAAACGTTTTGCATTTATACTGCTGACCAGTAGTTTTGACTTCTTTGTGTGGTAAAGTTACTTTCTCCTACTCAGGCCCCCATTCATGGAGGCATAATTTTAGTATCTGCCTCTCAGCAGCCTGACCTTTCATTAACCTCATTTTTTTAAATCATAAAACTAATGTTTGTTTCAGTTTTGATTGAGACCATCCAGTATCTTTGCCCAAAGTACACTTGGCATTTGTATAATCAGTCATGTCTGTTGAGTCCCTCAGTTGGTCTGATTAATAAAATGGCATCTACAGGAACAGAAACTTTACATTTTCACCCAAGTAAATGTTTCTTGCCTTAAACTGCTTGCTTGAACCATACTTTCTTTCATTTCAACTATAATACTATTAATATCAATGACTATGATCTCTATTTGGTGATAGATAATAGCTGCTCATGGACCAGTTTTAACTTTTTAGTCATGACAATAAGAAACAGAATGTATTAGTGAACATTATTTAATGTAATCATAAGAAGGCAGATTGTAATAATAATAAAATGCATTTCCATATCATGCTAGTGGTTTTAAAACCCTTCTTGTACACAACATTTTAGTCAGTCCTCAAAAAAGTTCTGTGGATAGATGACATTTTACAGATGACAAAACTGAGGTTGAGAATAAATTAGTGATTCCTCAGAGTCAATGCCTCGTAAGTTGGCTATATTTCCATGCTGTCTAGTGATGCGTGGGCTGTTTATTTTCCTGTTCTTTGTATTTGAGTAAGTAATATATATAAACTATTTTTTTTTAAGTTCAACATGTTCAAAGGGTTTACAGAAAAGCAGATCCCCCATTTTCCCTTTCAGGGGCAGCCAATAATATCAATGTCTCTGAATCCTGAAGAGAGTCTTTGCAAATATAACTATCTATGCATATAACTTACCCTCCTTCTGTCCTAATACAAACAGTACCAAACTGTTTTCCCACTTCACAGTCTACGTTGAAGACCATTACATAGAGATGTCTCATTTTTTAAAGTGATGGCACAGTGTTCTTCTGTCTTCCATGCTCTTTCGATTAATACTGTGCTTAATGGGCTAAATCTTACAGGTGAGAAAGAGAACCTGGAGGGAGTGGAGGAAGCAAGTTCAGCAGCCCCTGAAGTATCTTCGGAGGAAGCAAGTTCAGCAGCCCCTGAAGTATCTTCGGAGGAAGCAAGTTCAGCAGCCCCTGAAGTATCTTCGGAGGAAGCAAGTTCAGCAGCCCCTGAAGTATCTTCGGAGGAAGCAAGTTCAGCAGCCCCTGAAGTATCTTCGGAGGAAGCAAGTTCAGCAGCCCCTGAAGTATCTTCGGAGGAAGCAAGTTCAGCAGCTCCTGAAGTATCTTCGGAGGAAGCTCAGGTGGTAAATGCTGAAGAAAGCTCGGATGCTGAAGAAAGCTCGGGTGCTGCAGCTGCAGGCAGAGCAGAGGATGCTTCAGCCTGCCCTGGCGCTGCGGAGGCTGCTCAGGTGGAGATCACCGTGGTTGGTGCTGAAGCGGAGCCAGAGGTTCCAAATGCCACTGTCCGCGAAAGCACCCAAGTCAGCACCTCGGAGGTCACCGGTGCAGCTCCAGCTCCGTATGAAGCCGCTGCCATCAGTAGTGATAAAGGTACAGCCTCGGAGCTCACCGGTGCAGCTCCGGATGAAGCCGCTGTCATCAGTAATGATAACGGTACAGCCTCGGAGGTCCCCGGTGCAGCTCCTGATGAAGCCGTTGCCATCAGTAATGATAACGGTACAGCCTCGGAGGTCCCCGGTGCAGCTCCTGATGAAGCCGCTGCCATCAGTAGTGATAAAGGTACAGCGGAGAACGAAAGCTCTGATGAATATGCTGAGCTGGAAGAAGAAAATTCTCCAGTTGAGTCAGAACCCTTTGCCGAGGGTGTTTTACAGGAAGAAGCCAGTGTTGGTGCTGAGGCCACGACTCAAGGCTAATCTTGCAGATTCACACTCAGCATACACGCCACAGCAAGTCTGATAGGTGCTTTTGTAGTTTTAGTGTTTTTTTTGTTTGTTTTGTTTTTTAAAGGCTCCTTTTCTAAAAAACTCTAATGTGCCTTGAAGGTGTTTGGTATCTGCTGATAGGTTTCAGGGTTGAGATATTTGAGATTACATGTGTCTGAAGTTTCCTAGTCTCTGAGGTCAGAATATAACACTGCAGTAAACAGCTTCAGGAGTTTCATCCTTGGGTTTAAGTTTTATATCATAGGAATCGAGCTATCTATCACACATAATACACAACCTGCATCCACGTTAACTTTGCTGTGCCCTTACCTTACTGTAATGGATATAAATGTAGATTCTCAGGTTTTGATTTGAACTCATTTAAATAAAATTTAAAAATATTTAGTGCTTCTATTTTTATTCACCAATATATGTATAAATAATACAGTATATATTAACACACACACACACACATATAACATCACATGAACATTGCCATATTATCCAAGAAATCATGTAGTCTAAGGAGGACTCTGCATATAGCAACATGTGGCCCTTCTCCTATCTATAGTACAATGGGGCTGTGCTCATATTTTCCATCTCAATTTAATTCAGTTTAATCAATGTATATTAGGGACTTAAACTTTATGCCAGGAATCATTCATTCACTGAACAAATATTAACTGACCACTTGCAACCTACCAGTTTTAAGTGGTGAGAATAAATAAAAAAAAAACGATAAAAAGTCCTACCCTTCCCAGTTTATATTCTAGAGTGTGATCAAACAATAAACAAAATAAATAAGAAAATTGCATAATACGTATATGAGATACTGATAAGTGTTTTAAAAAAGAAAAGTAATGCAAGCAAAGGATGATACGTGTTGGTTAGGGGTGGAAGTTGTTACTTTAGATAGGGTAGCCAGAGACAGCTTTACTAAGAAGGTGTCTTGTGAGTAAAACCTGAAGGATACATAAGGGACCAATCATGAGGATATGAGTGGAGGGTAGGGGAGAATCATTCCAGATGAGAAGTGCAAAGGGTTTGAAGCAGAGAGAATTGCCAAGTGCCCAGTGTGGCTAACGTGGAGTGAAACAGAGGGACAATAGTTGGAGATGATTTCAGAGAGAAAGAGACTGGTTCTGCAGGGATGGGCTAGATCGCACAGGGTCTAGTAAGATTTGGGCTATACTTGGAGTAAGGGCGAGTTGTGGTGATTCTGGATTCTCTGCCCAGATCCCCTTAACTGGGCCAGTATGGTTACTCTCAGCCGCTGTTACACACACCTCTCCTCAGAGGCAGCTCACAACAACTAACTGCCATAGTGGTACGTACAACAGGTGAGGCCAATTTATGCTCCAGAGGCCCCTGCCCTCCACCTCTCCCCCCCTCCCCCGGAGCTCAGGCTAAAGTTGATTTCCAGCCAACATTAGGTCCTTGCTTAGCTTTTCTCCAGTCCTATCTGGTTGTCCTCCTCTTATTCTCCTGAGAGCACCCCTTCAGCAAATCTCTTGTAAATAACACAAGCCAACTCAAAGTGGACCAACAACAGGAGGATAGTTATTGCTATGTGACTAGCTATCCAGAGGTCGGGCAGCCCCAGGGTTGGCTTATTCTGTGGTTCACTCTTCAAGAACCAAGCTGTTTCTATCATTCTGTTCTGCTATCAAGAATGTTTGGTCTTGAGAACCAAGATGGCAGGATAGGAAAACGCCTGTACTTGCCTCCCACAACCACATCAAAATTACAACTAAAATACAGAACTATCATCCAGAAATGCTGGAAAGGTGGCTGAGTGGAAGTACTATAACTAGAGAGGTAAAGAAGAAGGCACATTGAGGCTGGTAGGAGGTGTGTAGGCACAGAATGGGCTGGGCTGGCACCTGGGTGTGCCGCTTTAGTAATCCAGAGGGAGATGGCCTCTGCAGAGGCTGCCTGGAGGAGTGAAGGGTCCTAGCCCCACACCAGACTCCCAGCCCAGGGTTCCAGAGTTGGGGAAAGAAGACTCTACGTGCTGTAAAAACTACGGACTGTGAAGCTCTTTATCTGACCTTCAATTCTAAATAATAGCTTTGCTGGTAGAGTAATATTGGTTGTAGCTTCTTGCTATTCATCACTTTGAATATTTCTTGTCACTCTTTTCTGGCCTGCATAATTTCTGTTGAGAAATAGCAATGTATGTAGTGCCCATTTTCTGTCAGAGTGTATTGTCAAGCATTTAGATTTTTGCGCATGTGATAGGTGAAAACTCTTAGTGTAGTTTTAATTTTCATTTCCTTTATTAAGAATGAGGTTGAACATCTTTCCATTTGGTTAAGATCCATGTACATTTATATTTTTCTGCAATTTATCTGTTCATATCTCCAGTGAATTTTTTGGTGTTGTCAGTACTTTCCTATTTTTTTAGAAACTATTTATGTACTAGAGTTGGTAAGGTTTTGTCTATGATATCAATTATAAATATTTTTCCAATTTGTCATTCACCTTCTTACAATAATTATGGTATTTTTTTTTTTTTAGTACAAGAGATTTTTAAATTCTAGGTAATCAAATTGCTGTGTTGTTTTGAATTTTGAGCCACTGTTAGTGTAGTGAATTGGGATAAAAAACAACCAAATTCTTCCCTTGTATGCATAATCTTGTGAAGTGTGACTTTATATATCTTCCTATCAAAAGGCCCAGCCAGTGTGGCTCAGTGGTTGAGCATTGACCTATGAACCAGAAAGTCACGGTTTGATTCTGGGCCAGGGCACATGTTCTGATTACAGGCTTGATCCCCAGGGTAGAGTGTGCAAGAGGTAGTCAATCAATGATTCTCTCTCATCATCAATGTTTCTATCTCCTCCTCTTTCTTCCCATCTGAAATAAATTAATATATATATACAATATATATATGTATATATACAATATATATATATTTTTATTTATTTATTTATTTTTTTAAAGAGAAGTGCAGACTGTTTTTCTATGCCCTTGAATTTGGCTTGCCTTGTACTCTGATTCGGTGGTATGCTGTGAAAGTGACTGTGAAAGCACTCATACTCTTGGAACCTGAGACCACTGTGTGAAGAAACCTGGGCTAGCCTCCATGAGAGTGAGACCATATGGAGAGAGAGGCCCCACTACAACTAACACTAACCCAGATAGGAGTGAGGCCATCCTACACCATCCATCCAGCTCCGCGTTGATGCCGGAGGACTGCCATTGTCTGAATGAGTCCAGACAGGAACCACCCAGCTGGACACAGAACAAACTGCTGATCCACGTAATTGTGAGCAGATAAGATAGCTGTGTATTGAGCCATGAAAATGAGGTAGTATAAGCAGTGATATGCAGTTAAAATAGTTAGGAAATGAAACTTAACTTGGATTTTGGTACAGACTTGCTTTGTATTATTGCATTTCACATTCCTCACCAAAGATGAAGAAAGAACTAGCTGTGGTCTGGCCGGTGTTGCTCAGTGGTTGAGCGTCAACCTAAGAATCTGGAGGTCACGGTTCAATTCCTGGTCAGTGCACATGCCTGAGTACGGGCTCCATCCCCTGTGTGGGCGTGCAGGAGACAGCCAATCAATGATTCTCTCTCATCATTGATGTTTCTATTACTTTCTCCCTCTCCCTTCCTCTCTGAAATCAATAAATTTTTTTTTTTTTTTTTTTTTTAAAGAAAGAACTAGCTGTGCCCATCAGATCCCAAATTTGTCTGGCTCAACTTCTAGGCCTATTGTTGCCTTTTTTGAAAACTTCCTTAGAACAACTAAATGCGACTGCATACTGAAGGATTTTGGTTCCCCCTCCCCCCTTTTAAAGTCAATATTTATTTAATGCTGTGCAAGTGACTTTAAGAATTCTCTTGAAGCAGCAGCTATCAAGTCCAAAAGCAACCTATATTTTTATGAACCTTTTTCAATTTTAACAAGCATTGTAATACAAGTTTAATAACAGTGGTCCGTAGAAAGCACTTTTATTATCAGACCATTGACTGATTTTAATAAAATAAAAAAATACATGACCCTAGCTGGTTTGGGTCACACCATCAGCCCACAGACTGAAAGGTTCAGGTTTGATTCCGGTCAAGGGCACATACCTTGGTTGCAGTTCGATTCCCAGCCCTGATCGAGGTGCCTGAGGGAGGCAACCAATTGATCTTTCTTCCTCTGCCCCTCCCTTCCACTCTCTCTAAAAATCAATGGAAAACTATCCTCAGGTGAAGATTAAAAACAACAACAACAACAAAAACACCCCCCCACACACACACACAAAAAAAAACATGTTAAAAAAACTCAAAGTAAGCCGGGCCAGCATGGCTCAGTGGTTGAGCATTGACCTCTGAACCAGGAGGTCAGGGTTCGATTCCGGGTAGGGCACATGCGTGGGTTTCAAGCTCCATCCCGAGTGAGGTTTGTGAAGGAAGCAGCAGATCAATAGTTCTCTCTCATCATTGATGTTTCTATCTCTCCCTACCCTTCCTCTTTGAAATCAATAAAATATATATTTTTTAAAGTCAAAGTGGGATAGTGTGGGGCCCAGAATGTGAAACCTATAGTAAAAGCTAAAAACTGGCAGCAGAATCAAATAACCATGTTACTACACTTTGATGAAGACAGATATAAAGGAAGAATAATTTTAGAAAAATGCAACACCCATTCTAATGAAACACTGGCATTTAAATATTACTTTAAATGTAAAAGCAAATAAAAATATTACTACAAATTTCTATTACTTTAATTCTTGAAAGAAATGTATGACACAGTCATGAACAATACATTTGAGATAACTACCCAGTCCTTTTTTAAAACAGTCAGGGTATTTTAAGCCAGCTTTTGAGAGTTGCGGCTGGATTCAGAAAAGATTAGTTTCTGAATGTGTTAGTAATTTCTGTGCCAAGTATTTGTCCTGTCAGATAGCATCTGATGACCAGAAGCAACACTGTCTATTATAATCAAGCATATTATGTAATGTTTTTCCTAGTTAAATAATTCTCTAAATATATTTCCAGAAAAAATATTTATTTTACTTACCATTTTGGCTAAGTTTTTAGCAAATAAGTTGGAGGAATTTGGAAAAGTAAATATTAGTATTTGAATTTTTCACATGGATATATACTTTTAAGTAATCATTGATCAAATTAATGATTAAATTAATATAAAAACTTAACTTTTATTTTTCTGAGATTATTTCTTATGGATTTCTGGGGTAGGGGAATAAAGAGAAAATTTGATTCTTTTTTCTTTCATTACATGACATGAAGATGAGAAGATTGTGGCCATCATTAACACTCTCCCCTCCCCCCCTTTAAGAATGAGAATCTCTCTTCACACAGCAGAAATGCTTTCACTCAGTCTAGGGTAAGAATCCTCTTTGGAGGAGAAAATTCTATGTAGATTGTGGTTATACCTATTTTGT